TGAAAGATTTCAATAAACCTTTTTTTAGAACATCAAAACAAATTGATTTTCGGAGGCACCATTCAATCTAATAATAACACTGATGATCTTCAAACAAGACTCTCTGACCTCTGACGGAAGCAAGAAACTCTTTCGAAAGTTTGAAATAGATGAACAGTTCAATCTAGCAGACCACTATTATAATATTCATGCAGTCATTGTTCACTGTGGTTCTGGCGTTGAATTTGGTCATTATTACGCCTGACCTTCGCTTTCCTCAGGTCGAGTGGACTGAATTTGGAAACTAAGGGGTTCATGATGGTCTACCAGCATGATGTCTTCAACACCTCAGTCTACTGCAGTCGAGTGATAGCTTTAGAGTTTCCTGACACAAGATGCAGGTTCTGCCGCGAGGTGTTCCAGACTCCAATGCATTTGCTGCCAGCTTGTTCAGCATATGCGGTGTCTGTCTATATCCATCGACATAACGCGGCCTTAAGAGTGCCACTAACGGCACTCTTACGGTATTACGAGACACCAATGTTTCCCTACATTCCGTAGGATATTGAATCCCTTGTGGGGAACGAGAAGTGCCGAATCTATTGGAACTATTCGTTTCCCACCCTCAGGCTCATACAAGCCAATAAGCCTGATGTAGTCCTTCTCGACCACCAGAGTAAGACAATATTTGTCGTGGAGTTTTCAGTTTCTGGCGAGGTGAGGATAAACGCATAAAATATCAAGATTTTTTTCCTCTAACTCCGCAGACTCTATCCAGACCACTCTGTCAAGATGTTCTGATTATTGGAGTCCTTGGTGGAATCATGCCATCTGTTTAGGCAGAAATCTTAGCCGAACAAATGCACAAGGCTGACATTCTTGGCTCACTGGGCTTGCTAAGGACACATGATTCTCGAACCGAATTATCACTTACCCCATGGTGTGTGGACAGGTCGTTGGTTGATAATGCTGGCGCGCCCTCCTGAATGTATCGAATTTCGGGGATATGACTAGACCAAAGTTAGGTTAAAAAAATTATGATAATAATAATACGCCGTTATTCACCCTAACAAACTGAAATAACTACAACAAATAGACATATAGATGTATACGTGAAAAGACGGAGCTTCAGCAGACGCTATTTTTCATATCCACCCAAAATAAAAAGTAATTGTTAAAAGAGAATAACAAGATCTAATGAACAGAAGATGATGATATAATGACAGGTTCCGTAAAATAAAAGACATTGAATGTTAAAAAAAACATTAACCCCGAGTGAAAATTCCTATTTGGTATGACCAAGGTAGAGAACGGACAAGAAACTTATTAAACAGATGAGTCTTCAGTCTTTTTTGAAATTATTAATTGTCGAGGATAGAAAATCACAGGAAACTTGATTATAATATTTGGGTGTATCACACGAGAAGCAGCGAGTGGAGATAAAAGATTTATGTTTAAGGTCTTTGCCCACTATACCGTACCAAACCATGACCGTGCTAGGACCGTATTAGACACGGAAAATAAGACGACACGGCCTACCTTGCCCACTGTAATGGATCAACTGGGTTCTAAGCCCGTAAGCAACACGTATAATGACCGTATCATATGGGTATGATGACCGTTAGATACACGTTTGACAACTGTAGGTAATGTGATGTATTTTATGTTTTTTCAGCTTACTCATCATTGTAGTGTGAACGTGTAAAAGAGTTTACCACGAAGAACGAATATGGCTATGAGATTATCTACATTTCAAATGAATGTACTGCTGAAATAAATTGAAAATGATTCACAACCCGTTTATACACCGTTTCGCTGCCGGAGACTTACGGTTTAGCAACGTCACGTACCATGCACGTTGCGTATCAGCACCGGCCAAATATTCTATACTCAAATACTGTCATGTCACGTGCATGCTACGCTACGTGCCGGACCGGTGATGGAATGGTCTAGTGAGCGTTGGTTCATATAAATTGTATCAAAGAATATTTTTTAGCATGTGCCGGTACGTTTACGGTCATGGTTTGGTACGGTATAGTGTGCAGATAACTTAGGGATGACTAAAATTGAGTTTCTCAACTTTTACCCATTCTAGGTAAAAGTTGAGAGGTGTGGTTGGGAATGAATTATTGGGCGTATTTCCGGATATCAAACGAAAAGCATGTACCTAATACGCTGAAGACGAGAAGCATCCGATTGTCTAAGAGCAGGTCTATAAATGATGTCACAGTAATAAACCATTAACTTGATCAAAGGCTCACATAATATGAGTTTCAATTTAGTGTTGAATAAAGTTGCCTGAGAACGTTATACAAAATCTGATTCAGATAGCTGATATGTTCAGTAAAGCGGAGTTCTGGGTGACACCACATCCTAAATTTTCAACTCGTTCACGAAGGGAAGTTTTTCATTTTCGATAAGTACTTGAAATAAAGTGTTGGTTAGCTCCCTATTCTTTTCAGGTCCATGGGTCATTATTGCAGATATTTATAATTAAGCTTAAGCTTATGGGCTATAGAAATTTCGAAGATAGCTTGATCGTGATGAATATATAACTGTGCAGAGGTAGAATCTTGAGATGAAAAAGATTATGCAAACACATTCCAGAACATTTAAATGTATACATTAAAAAAAATATATTTTTAGAAGGGACTAATTTCTAGAAAAAAAAGTTTTGACTTTCTACGTAAGATTTACACATTTTTTTGTATAAAAACCGTTCTTCATTGAGATGTCAGTTCAAAATTGATATAGGAATTTTTGGTTTGATTTGGGTGAAATAAGAATTTTCTGGGTAGCTGCTTATTCATTTTTTGCCTGAATATATGACGTCACTAATAGGAATGTTGAATTGATATGGTTTCAGAAAGACAATATTTCTACTATCACAAAACGTGAATTTCCTCAAAATTCTCCATTGAAAAAATAAGCTCGAACATTTGACAATTTATATGCCAAAAATACGAACAGTTACTTAAATGTACTGTGTTGGCAACAATAGCAGTTAAGGACGGGTTTTATAAAGGTAGCGGTGTAGTTCCGCTTAATCCATGTAAATATTTCAGATGGATGTTAGAACTTCACTTGTTAAAAAAACGAATATTATTTGCTCGTGTAAACGAGGAAAGGAAAAATACCCTCTTCTGAAATGATGTACACAAATGATGATTATCGAGTATCTTACAATCTTGCTTTCTCACTATCACTGATAAGGTGGATGGAATAAATTTTAATAAATCATATTTGACTCGAAAAAAATTTATGAAGAAAGGAAAACTCAAAAACCTGAAAAATTATTTAGTAGTCGAAATATAGATTGAAATCGTTCGTCAGGAGCACAGATTATGTTCATTAATCGTGAATTATATCACTGTAAAATACTGTAAAAGCTGTCCAGTCTTCTACAATTAAATCGATTTCATGGATGGGAGAAAATATTCAGGGTGAAACTATCAATATCTAGTTTACGACTTCTATTTCGATTTTAGACATAACTTTGGAATTTTTCTCTTTATCCAAAGTGACCCCAATTGTCAACGAGAGGAAACACTTAAACGTTCGTGTTCATGTGGTTCACAATAACGTCACATACAATCATTAAATACATAATTTGTGTTCATCGATCTCCAAGTGACACATTATTTATCCCAGTGTCAAAATATCTATATTTGGCGTTCATAATGTCCAGCCACTGGCTAAAAATCTTATATATCAATGAAGGTCACAAGGTCGCTAGCCAAAGCTTTTCCAATAAGCAGCGGCCTTAAGTATCATAACGAGCCAACAAGAATTCCTGACCGAAATGGAGAATTTGCTAGTCTTCTAGATCTATATTTAAGCGAAAAGACGTCATCCTACATACAATATGACGGACCGCCCAAGATGGCGGACTAGTTCTTTTTCATGCACTCCCGTGATAGGGGTATCAAATGGAAGGTTTTGCTGAAAATAACACGAAAATTAAAATGACGTAACTCTAAATCCAATATGGCGGACTCTCAAAGATAGATATGAAATGAAAGGGTTCAAAGGGAAAAAATACAAATTGCGGAAAACAAGATGGCCGTTATTTCAATTTTGAAGACGAAAATCAGGAAGAGTTTGGTGGTGCCCAAATAAATGTAGGGATCGAGCACGCAACAATGACGCATTTAATGAAATTAAATGACTAGCTACTATGTCCAATTGAAAAATAAAAAATTTTCTTTTATGAACACTAGTTTTGTTTTCTGCGGTCAACAAATGTTATTATCAGTATTAAGATTTGTGCAAAGTGAGAGAAAGTTAAACGAATACTTTTTATGTACATAGCTTATTACTTACGCTTTTTTCAATGTAGAAATACCTCAGTCATAAAAAATTAATATAGACATGTCGATGTCTCAACTGGGTAGAGACCTCCACTAATATATTTTTAATTCAGTTTTAGGCAATACTAGTAATTATTCGAAGCTCTGATTAGATAATGATAAATAAGTTTCCACGTCAGTTATATACACCTATCGTTGATATTTTGCTGATTGGTTACTGACATTTATAAAGAAAAGCGGATGCGAGAGAAAAATTAGGAAAACTAATGAAAATTCCAACATGTATATCATCTTACTCGAATCTTCTCTGATATTGGGAGCGGGCATAATGATGAACTTCTTCAGCCACACCTTCAACCTTATAAATTGAATGGCATGCGCGAAATTAGGTGATAATATTAAGTATCATCAGCTCTATACCTACGTAGGTATACGGTAGAATATGTATTCAAACCTGTATGAAAAACACAAATATGTGGTTGGTGAGGATACAAATGAGTTTACATTCAAACAGTAATCACAATAATGATAATTCAACCGATGAATCCTAAAGTGATTCAAAGTTCTGACCATTACCGTTATAATAGATTAGGCAATCACAGATGTGTAGTTTCAAGAAGACTCTCAATGAAATTGCAGAGAATCCTTCCAATATATAGATTGGAATTTTTCTTTTGATGATGAATATGATTGAAATGTCGGCTTACCAACCTTTTACAAACAATCAGTTATCCATTTGATTCCAAACAACAACAAACACTGCAATTTCACTGCACTGCAACTTCACAATAACGTTTACACACAACCCACAACAGAGAGATGAACTTCAGTCACGTTCCCACCTGACAGGTAAAGTACGATAACTTGTCACATCAGCGCAAGGCACATGCGTAAAGATTCAAGTACTATCTACCTGTGATACTCCATTCGACTATTTTATATGATGTTCAATACTCATCTACTGATTACACAGTAAATCGTTCACCTCTGAATTTCTCTCACTATACAATGGTTAGAAAATTATATTTGCTGTCAAATGCGTTTAAGTGTCACGCAAAAAATAGTTCGACTAGGTACAATATCTTACTGAGATTTTCAGTTATTTCTGGGATTTTTCCTTTCCGAACTGTCTACGATTTTTTTCAATGTTTGACACTTTCACTATCTGTCCAGATACAGTGTGTGTCACATTCCATTTGAAGTTTATTGTGTAGAAGTAAAGTTATCAAAACAGTATTTACAGAAAAGTGCCATATACCAATGAATTACCCTTTTTTAATTATTCACCAATATACAGGGTACCTAGTAGAAGCATGACGTATCAAAAGTTTCTTTGAATGAAATAACATATGGAACAGAGGTTACATAAAATAACACCATAAATCTGATTTTTTGAACCGAGTTCTTGCAACAAAACCCACAAACTTTCATTGGGAATAAGTTCGCAATAATAAGGGGGCAGACGCAGAATAATGATATTTCGTTTCTGTGCCATCTTGTCGAATGCATATTCCATGAAACTAGTTTCATTTGAACATACTATGGACAATGATTCTTTTTATATATCAATATTACTTTCATCACATGGTATGTTTTTACTCGAAGACACTCAATGATATTCGCTTTTCTCTATGCATTAGTTGGTATTCTTTCAACTGTTCTGAAATGAAAACTTGCATTATCTATCACAATGACAAGAGTTAGCTGAAATGCCTAAAACATTCTTCAAACACATCGCCGTTCATGTCTTCATGGTAATCGGCAGTAACAAACCTAGTAGTCTGGGCTATAAGTTTAGATTCGTGTTGAATGTAGGGGAGATATGCCTGAGATGGCATACTGGCTGAGACGGCATAACACGTGTTTTATCTACATCTATTAAAAATTTAGCGCTTTTCTGACCGAAAACAATCATCAATGCTCGAACATTTAGCAACAGTGTGCAAAAGCCATGCGACAGATTCGTTTTGGAGGCAGTAGGCTAGACAGTCGATTTTTGCCTCATAAAAGTCCCAATATGTAATATTTATGTTCTTTGGTTGCCCAATTAGTATATCCTATAGTATTGTGTCGTTAAAACGAAGCTACTGAAATATAGGTTAGCAAAAGGATCTTCCTGTATTTCTGTCTGAGATGGCATACTTTTCGTGTGGACGAGATGGCAGGGTATGCCTTCTCATACAAGTATGTATGCATATAAAATCATATTTATTTTGTTGGCTTCTTGATGGCTTCCTTCCAAATGTAGTTATTTATTATTACAGTGATGGGTCAGTACGAGAGAAAAACATCCAGAAAAAACTAGCCCGACCAAAATATGCAGCAAGCCATCGATGCTGGTAAACAGAAAAGAATGGGATGGCTAATGACATCAAAAACATACAACGTTCCTTTTTTGAAGTTATATTATACGCAAAAGTGGCATAGTGCTGTTTTGCTTTTCCCCACACTGTACCCATCGGTTGCAGCCTCTGGACGTGGGTTTTTATTCGGCTTTTCGTTCATACTATAATCAAGAGCTCACCACATGGTTGAAGAATCATCCAGGTCGGACTTCAACTCATTTCCAAGTTGCAGAGATTTTCATCCCAGCATGTATGAAAGCAGCCACTGTTAAGAACGCAACAAATGGTTTTTCTTCAACATTCATTTGCCCCTTTAATGCAAATGTCTTTCCAGACTGGATGTTTTGCACTGCCGATGTTACTGCCGAAGTATTCAGCGAGAACGGACGAAAGAAGTTGTTTCCATTGTTCCAGGACCATCACGTGTAATGAGTAATAAGGATGATTTTGATGAAAATAGAGACGTTGGAAGTATTTCTGTGGCTGAAATATCACCATTACCTAAAGTGTCAGTGTCACAGAGAAGAAAATATGGAGTTATTAATACCACCCCAGATATCGACTTAGCCAAACAGCTAGTTGCTGACAAGAAAGCGCAAGCACTAAGGAATTCCACCCGAGCTGCAAAAAAGGTCGTAATACCTGAAGAAGAAGTACCTGAAAAAGGATAGTAGCGATTCGGAGGATGATGTTGCATGTATATTTTGTAACGAATTATATTCCCGTTTCCGTGCGAAAGAAACATGGGTACGATGTCAGACTTGTTTGAATTGGACCGAGACCGAATGCGCTGGCGTATCTAAAGCAACAGAAGTATTCGTTTGCGATATATGCCAACTTTAGTAGACAGTTTTACACTATGTCATCTCACCAACAATTGTGTTGATGAGATGGCATAAGAAGAGTTTTTTTTTTAAATTTGTGTAAAAAAAGTATGGAGTTTTTCGGAGTAATAAAGTTATGTTTTGATAAATAAGTGTCTTAAGTGTTCATTTCTCTCCTTACCAATTCTGTAACTTCAAAGTGCTACTAGTAATTAAGTATAGAAAAAAAGTATGCCATCTCAGGCATATCTCCCATACATACTTTTAGTAAAATTAAGTGATTAGGCTCATTCGATCCGGAATACTGTCTAGATCATTGTGCAGAAAAGTGAATTAGTTCATAATAAATTCTGAAAGTTGTAAACAATTGAAGACCCTAAAAAGCAGTGTTC